CAGGGACAAAATATGAGCATTTTGCAGTTGATTCTGAATTTTATTTTTATTTGCAAATACAATAAAAAATAGAAGCGGGCGAATCCGTTAACCAAGAAATTAAATTGGTGTGGCCTAATGATAAAAGTAATAATAATAATAATAATAATGTAGACTGGAACTCGTTGCCACCAAGCACAGTTGGGGCATCATCACTAAAAAGCTTTAAACAACTCCTGCAACTAAATGTGCAAAGATTGAGTGTAACAAGTCGTTCGGTGTGATATAGCCAGCTGCCGCCGTGCCGCGTGCCTGCGAAGCAGGTGTGTAACGCCGAAGGGCGGTTATACCGGCTATACAGATACAGAAGCTGGTGTGTTACGCCGAAGGGCGGTTATACCGGCTATACAGATACAGAAGCTGGTGTGTTACGCCGAAGGGCGGTTATACCGGCTACTAGTACAGATACAGAAGCTGGTGTGTTACGCCGAAGGGCGGTTATGCCTGCTATACAGATACAGAAGCTGGTGTGTTACGCCGAAGGGCGGTTATACCGGCTATACAGATACAGAAGCTGGTGTGTTACACCAAAGGGCGGTTATACCGGCTATACAGATACAGAAGCTGGTGTGTTACGCGCCACAAGATGACCAAAGTTAGGTACCCATTCACACCTGGGTGGAGTGGGGAAAGTCGTGTAAAATGCCTTTCCCAAGGGCACAATGTCAGGGCACATGTGCAGACATGTCCTGGGTACAACTCGGGATCGAACCCGGGTCTCCCCGCTTCATAGTCGAACGCTCTACCACTACGTCACCCGACAGCACCCACCTGTTCATGGCAGAGAAGAAGTTCCAGAGGTTCTCCATGGGGGAGAGGAAGAGGATGTCTGTGTCCACGTACAGGAGGGAGTCCACTTCTGTCAGAAGCTCCTGGACAGAAAAGATAGTTAGATTAACTTTTAGTTCTCTCACCTAGAGCTTTCAACCAGTCGCTCTGGTCTTCCTCAGTAGACTGACCCAGTGGGGCTTGTCACATGGCTTCTTTGAAGTGTGATGTCAAAACTGGGTCAAAGGTATGATGTTGGCCCCCGTCACGGTTGAGTGAAGGGTGACGTCACACTTCAAAGAAGCCACATAACAAGCCTCACTGGGTCAGTCTACTGAGGAAGACCAGAGCGACTGGTCGAAAGCTCTAGTCTAGGTGAGATGATTTTTTTGTGTTGGATCAAAAGTTTTAACTTGAAACATATAACTAACAACACAGGAACAGGATGTCTGTGTCTGATGTCTGTGTTCACAATGGTTGAGCCTCTGGTGTGATGAAAAAAACTTCAGGCTGGCTAGAACACTGGTGTATTTTGACATCAGAAAATCTGCGACTCATATGACTTTACTTTACAAAGCTATTGAAACGAGTCACCAGTTACTAGATGTGATCATGGGGTACACAGAATAGTCTTGAGGAGGCCCATAAGGCAGAGCGTGGGTACTTGGATCAGGCAGTCGGGGTCCAGGGTTGAGAGAGAGAGGTCCGGTTGGCATGTGTACTAGGGCAGGAGTCTTGCATTAAACTGAGTTCTTGGAGTTCACCCTGGCTCGTTTCCTGACATTAAAAATATATTCAGCAAGTGCAATGTAAGAGGGCCTGCAGGGAGGGGGGGTCCCGAGAACGCTCTACGCTGAATTCGGAAACCTCTCGATTACGCTTTTTGATAAATTCCAAGTTGCTACAACGCATTATGTAGAATTAAAATGCCGAATACGCTCTATGCAAAAATATTAGAGCAGTCCGTCTACGCTCTACGTAGAATTAAAACGGCCGATTACGCTCTTCGGAAAAGGCCTTGCGGGCCCCCATGTAATGCAGTAAGGTGCTTTTGAAACTATCTTACTGGTAGAAAGAGTCTCTGTGAAGCACACGGCCTGAAGAGTTTTTTCCACTCCTGGCTGTTCTCCCCAGGAGGGTACATGATGGGGTAGATGGTGTAGCTCAGCTTCTCGTGGATACTGGCCGGCCACGAGTCTATCTGGGTAGGAAAGAAGGAAATAACATGTTAGCTTCAACAAACTTCACATAGGAAAGCACCACGGTCTTGAACCATGTCAAAGTAAGAATATCAGAACATTTGGTGTAGGTAGTGGTGCATACCGGTTCACTGGACTTGGATCCGGACTTGTAAGAATGTTTAGGTTCAAGTCCAAAAAAACCTAAAAGTCAAGAACTGAGTCCGGACTTATTACCATAAAAGACCATTTCACATACCCCTTTTCTTTTCAAACCACATGAATGAAGAAAATATTGGCATCGTCAAGTACCGGCCTCCTTGTTAAAATTTCACCCAGACAACATTGCAAGGTGGCAGCATGCAATTTTGTATATGCCATGGGTTTAGGTCCGGACTTACAAGTCCGGAACTGAACCTAAACCTCTGGACTTGAATCCGAACCTGAACCTAAATGTGGATTTAGGTATGCACCACGAAGTGTAGGTCAGCTTGTCATGGATACTGGCCGGCCACGAGTCTATCTGGGAGGGGAATAAACAGGTTACCTTGTCATCATTTATTACCACATGATGGGGTAGACTACCTCTATCCCCCCCCCCGCCAGAACAAAAAAGGCTACAGAACCCTTTCCATCACCAGTCAATCAGACTCTATAACCAGACTGTACAGATAGAGTCTGGTACAAGATAATGGACCTTGCAAATATCTGGGTTGTGCAGTAAACAGTTACTGTACTGTTTCTATAGTTTTTGTAAATATATATTTTACATTTTGTATACAATAACATGTAAATATAAATGCCATTCAGGCAACATTGTATGCCATGTTTGTCTGTTATGTTTGGTATGCTAATAAAGACTTGAATTGAATTTGTGGAAGGATTGACATCACAAGTGACTGTCACACTTCAAAGAAGCCAGGTGACAAGCTTCACTGGGTCAGTCTACTGAGGAAGACCAGAGTGACTGGTCGAAAGCTCTAGGTAAGAGAACTTCTTTGTGTTGGACCAAAAGATTTAACTTTAAACATGTAACTACCAACACAGATGAACCTTCAGTACAGATGAACCTGATAGTATGCCAAAAAACAGTTACTCAAGCAACTGGATATGATTTTGGAAATGGTCAGACCTTTCAGGTAGTATCCATTACGTTTCGTCAGTGACTTTGAAACGTCTGACCGTTTCCAAAATCATATCCAGGTGCTTGAGTAACTGTTTTTTGGCGTATCTTATTACCTGGATATCTAACCGTCACCTATGAACCTGATAGTAACTTAAACTGACTGTCTTACCTGTTGTCTGAATCCGAAGTGAAGCTCCGTCTCGGCGAAGATGTGGCAGTGAAGCTTCGTGTTGCTGAAAACCAGCGCAGACTTCAGCATCACCAGAGTCTCATTGGTCCTGTCTCCACAGGCAACCACTGCCAGGTGCATACTGGCCTCCTTATCCGGGCTGGGAAGGTAAAGAATAGTGCTGAGTACCTAAACCCACATTTAGGTTCAGGTCCGGATTCAAGTCCAGGGGTTTAGGTTCAGTTCTGTGCTGAGTACCTAAACCCACATTTAGGTTCAGGTCCGGATTCAAGCCAGAGGTTTAGGTTCAGTTCTGTGCTGAGTACCTAAACCCACATTTAGGTTCAGGTCCGGATTCAAGCCAGAGGTTTAGCTTCAGTTCTGTGCTGTGTACCTAAACCCACATTTAGGTTCAGGTCCGGATTCAAGTCCAGAGGTTTTGGTTCAGTTCCAGACTTGTAAGTCCGGACCTAAACCCATGGCATATACAAAATTGCATGTTGGCAACCTTGCAATGTTGTTCGGGCAAAACTTTGGCCACATAACATGGAGGCCGACACTTTACAATGCCTGATGGCAATGTTTTCTTCATTTTGCAGCAAAGATTTTGCAATCTATGGATGGTTTTAGGTGGTTTGGAAAGAAAAGGGGTATGTGAAATGGTCATTTATGGTAATAAGTCCGGACTCGGTTCTTGACTTTTAGGTTTTTTTGGACTTGAACCTAAACATTATTACAAGTCCGGATCCAAGTCCAGTGAACCGGTACGCAGCCCTAGTAAAGAAATATTGATAATGTTAGCATGAAAGTTCATCTGAGTTGGTAAAATACACAAAGGAAGTTAAACTCTTCTCCAACTAAAAAAAAATAACTTACCAGAAATTTTCGACTGAATCGCTCTTGGTCCGTGTCTCTGTGTCCACAGCACTTGGGTCATAAAGATGATGACTGAGTGATTCAGTCAAAAAATTCTGGTGAGTTAATATCTTTTTTGAGCTGGAGAACAGTTTAACTTTCTTCATACTGACAATGTTATTTGTAGACAGACACAATTTGAATCATGTTAACGTGTCACTTCAGCATAACTAATGCCACTCTGATCTAATTTCATGGATAACATCCGCGTGCATTGATTTTTGCCTGTTCTCAATAAAAAAAGAAAAAGATCACATCCTCCAATGCGCAAGGCTCTGGAGTGGACCCAGGCTGTTGAAGTTCCATGACTCTAAAACTCAGTACATACGTACAGTGCCGATTCATAAATTCCGCAAAAGACCAGCACGTGTTGGCTTATCATAAAAGTCGCTATGTACTACCGCAAATTCACAATACCAGCTTTGCATTCCTGTGGTTTAGCGGCAATTTTTTTGGCGGCCAGAATTCTTTTTATTCAACCACGCGCACTAGTTTGAGGGTCTTCAGAGGATGTCATCCATAAAATGAAGTCAGTGTGGCCTAAATGAATTTTGTGACAGAGACAAATATGTCTTTATGTTATCTACTGTGTAATACCTAATTCGTCTTCTGTAGTGTTTGTTAATTCGCAAACCATTAACCATAGCTCTGATCTAAAACAGTTGAGAGTAACCAGACTATTGACACAGGGACATATTGGCTTTCTTTCTGGTGTCCATCAAATATCTCTTCAAGTGTTTGTGGATTTGTAAACCATTAACTACATGTATGGATGTGACGCAATAGCAATCAAAAGTAGGCAGCTATTGATACCTCTATATGTGTTACACTGTAGGCCTGTTCCTATTCAGAAACTTTGGCACAATCAGTGTACCTAAAGCCCGGACTAAGAGACTTAGTAATTTTTTCCTTCCTTGTGCTGTTCGTCTCTATAACAAGACAATTAACCAGTAGTGTTATAGACTAGTATCTTGCTAAATCCTACGTGGTAATTGCATATTAGGCCACACCAATTTAATTTCTTGGTTAACGGATTCGCCCGCTTCATTTTTTTCTGATTTGCAAAAAAAAATTAAAAAATCAGAATTAACTGCAAAATGCTCATATTTTGCCCTGAACAGTTGAAAACAGTCCTTTCCTTACTACTTGTTACACTCATTCCATCTTTCAATGCAGTGGTATCATTAAAACTTCAAAATTCATTGTTTAAATTTTGAACCAGCCTGGTGTGTTGACTTTATGGCTCCTATCGTACCCTTTTGGGCCATAATAGGATGCCTAGGCCTGTTTTTATTTTTATTTTTTTTTCGCCCGCCCGCTCCATTATTTTTCTAGAAAAATCCGTTAACCAAGAAATTAAATTGGTGTGGCCTTATGTAATAAAGATGAAATTCGGGCGTCTGCCCGCAAGAGCCTTACCAAATAAAACTTTGAACTTGAAATGTGCAAAATACTATCGCTTCTCTTTATGACGTATAAGCTAAATCACGGACCTCATCATTGCTTTCTTCGCTTTCCCACTACACTATATGTTTCAGGAAAAATGCACCACAACACTACGTTTGGCTGATGGACTTGGAAGAAATTATACTAGCCTCGTCAGTCGTGAAGTTTAGATAGAGCCACATACAAGACAAGAAATTGCCGTTTTGATGACATTTTGCAAGTATGTACTACATGTACCTTGAAAAGTGCCCTCAGATAACATCTTAACTTTGCTTATACAACCTAAACTTTGTTGTATATTCATACAAGGAACTACCGGCTATATACATGTATCCTTGTTATAGTGTAAATATTAAAACTACATACATCAAAGGATATCCCTATATGATGTCCTTCATACATTGAACCATATCATTGTGTAAACTGTACGATAAATAGATAGGTTTTTATAGAAAAATTTAGCATGAGGGAGCAGATCGCAAGCATGGCAAGGAACGAAGCGACCGAGGGGGGAATTTTTTAATAAGAGTAACACAGTTTGTAATGCTAGAATGCATTGTTGTATTGTTTTTACATCTTTACTGGAAAAGGATCATTTTTGAGAAAGACTAAATGGTGTTGAAGTAGCCACATAGGGTTCAATTTGAAAGTTGGTATGGGGGAGCTGGCTGGTTACATGAGGGAGCAGCTCCCTTATTCCCCTGTTTAGAAAAAACAGTATATATACAGAGTGCTAGAAATACCCATCTGCAGTCTGCAACGTTTCAATGTTGCAGAAAAAAAAATTAAGCAACTTTGCACACTGAGAAAATCAGGATAGGGGTGCAACTGTGTCTATTATGTAGCTTTTGTGCTTACTACTGACTTTACGTTGCACTAGTTATGAATTGTACTTTTCAAATTGCATGTAAAATGTTTGCCAACATGCAATTTTGTATGGGTTTGAGTCAGGACTGAATATTTGCGGAAAGTATTTCCAAATTGCAGAACAATGTTGTGACATTCTGCACTATTGCAAAACATTGCAAAAAAGGTATTTCGAACGCTGGACAACCTCAACCCAGTACCTGAAGTCCAGTTTAAAACCCTTGGATTTAGTGATGCATACCGGTTCACTGGACTTGGATCCGGACTTGTAAGAATGTTTAGGTTCAAGTCCAAAAAACCTAAAAGTCAAGAACCGAGTCCGGACTTATTACCATAAATTCCAAACCACCTAAAAAAAAGTAAAACCTTCCGTAGATTGTAAAATCTTTGCTGCTAAACGAAGAAAACATTGGCATCGGGCATCATCAAGTACCGGCCTCCATGTTATGTTGCCAAAGTTTCACCCAGACAACATTGCAAGGTTGCCAACATGCAATTTTGTATATGCCATGGGTTTAGGTTCGGACTTACAAGTCCGGAACTGAACCTAAACCTCTGGACTTGAATCCGGACCTGAACCTAAAATTGGGTTTAGGTATGCATCACTACTTGGATTATAGATTCCGTGACATACATAGATTAATATAACCATGCTGGTGCTTTATACTCATTTTAGATGGAGGGACAGGAACAATGTAATAAAGGCATTCAATGCGGATATTCATATTTGGTATGACAACATATCAATACTTATAAATATTTTAGAATGTACATGTTTGTTAATGCACCCAAACAAAAGTATTGACAGTTTGCATTGTTCGAATCATTACACAACACAGGACATAGTGTGTGCAGATCTTCATTCATACATGATGTTAATTCCATTGCTGGATAACTTGAAAACGGTATCATGCTGTTTGTGTTCACAGAACTGAAAGTATTTTCTGGGATGTCTGGTTTAGTAAGCCTACTCAGAGTAGAGAATAAGGCCACACCAATTTCATTTCTTGGTTAACGGATTTTTCTAGAAAAATAATGGAGCGGGCGGGGGAAAAAAAAACCAAAAAAAACAGACCTAGGCATTCTATCAGGGCCCAAAATGGTATGATATGAGCCATGAAGTCAACATACCAGGCTGGTTCAAAATTTAAACAATGAATTTTGAACTTTTAATGATACCGTTGCTTTGAAAGATGGAACAACTAGGAAGAAAAGGACTGTTTTCAACTGTTCAGGGCAAAATATGAGCATTTACTCTCTTAAAGCATAAATGCAATAACGAAAAGCCCAACTGCAGGTGGCACCTGGTCATGGCACAGTTGTGGAAATATTTTGTGATCCATCTGAGGGGGCCCGCAAGCCCTTTTCCGTAGAGCGTAATTGGCCGTTTTAATTCTACATAGAGCGTAGACGGACAGCTCTAATATTCTTGCAGAGAGCGTAATCGCCGTTTTAATTCTACGTAATGCGTTGTAGCGACTTGGAATTTATCGTAAAGCGTAATCGAGAGGTTTCCGAATTCAGCGTAGAGCGTTGTCGGGACCCCCCCCCCCTTGCAGGCCCTCATCAGATCATTACAACTTAAAAGCACCCCTTATTTAGAACTGCACAAATATAGTCCCAACAGTTCTCTAGCTCCTCCTTTTGCAGCTTCGCACCCAAATTAACATGTACCTATTAAAGCAGGACTTAGGTCCACTTTGTCCAGTGATGACCTTATATGTATGTACACATGTATGGTCATATATGAATGCTTGCTGCTTTTGAAATGCGCGACAGATGGCAAACATTTAAATCTTACATGTTGCACAAAGCTTTACGTCTGCTGCCAATCATTTTGAGATTATTCAGTCCAAAACATAATGAATTTTTGCACAACTACATTTGAGCTAACTATTGTACCGAACAGGGTAAACAGAAATTCCTGTCCGAACCTGGCATCATGTTAATAGATGTCTGCATAAGGCCACACCAATTTAATTTCTTGGTTAACGGATTCGCCAGCTTCATTTTTTTTTCTGATTTGCAAATAAAAATAAAAATTCAGAATCAACTGCAAAATGCTCATATTTTGCCCTAAACAGTTGAAAACAGTTCTTTTCATCCTAGTTGTTACAGTTATTCCATCTTTCAATGCAGTGGTATCATTAAAAGTTCAAAATTCACTGTTTAAATTTTGAACCAGCCTGGTATGTTGACTTCATGGCTCCTATCATGCCATTTTGGGCCATAATACGATGCCTAGGCCTGTTTTTATTTTTATTTTTTTATCGCCCGCCCGCTCCATTATTTTTGTAGAAAAATCCGTTAACCAAGAAGTTAAATTGGTGTGGCCCAAGGTTGAAGTTTACAGATACAGTAGTATATTATAGTCTGGCATTGCAATCTCCAAGCAGAGGTTTAGACTTTGGCTTACTTTTGAGACATGTATTTATGTGTTTTATTATTTATTTATTTTTGTACTTGTATCCTTTTTACGGTACCCAAACTTTGGGTGGCAAACACCAATGTCCACCAGATGCCATAAAAAGATCTGCTTGGAGATTGATAATCCAGAAGGTGTGTACTGAGAGACTATGGACCTACAGATGGATGTGAGACATTGGTAAAGCAAAAATTCCTGACAGACCGAACTTGGCATGTGTTACAGAAGTCTTAATGAACAGAAGGTTATTACTGGAAGGTTGTGTACTGACCTACAGACATACAGTCCACAGAGAGGTTGGAGCAGTGGGCATGCATCAGGTGGGAACCAGTAACCCATAGTAGGCACAGGGCAGGTTAGAGCGGGCAGCCTGCAGGTACAGTTAAAACACAACCTTCATTCCTTTGCAACCAAGCTGGGGCTGTCTCTGTCTATCCTGCACCTTGTTTTATCTACTAGATAAAGGCTAAAGTAAAGAGAAAGGTGAAAATCTATTGCTGATTAGTTGTTAGTTACAGTTAAAACACAACCTTCATTCCTTTGCAACCAACCTTGGCCCGTCTCCTAGCCTCTACCATGCTTCAGAAAGCTGCTGGAAAGAGTAGACATTGGCCAAATAGAGAGATAACATGCCAGGGGTCTACTAGGGGAGTTGATTAAGAGAAAGTTGAAAGTCTTAGTTATAGATAGTTTAGCACTTGTTTTACAGTGAATAAAGAGTTGAAGCAGGTAGCAGTAAGACTGAGCAAAGTGAGGAAGTTGAAAGCTTGTGAAGCAATAGTTAGTATTTACCCAGATAATTAGTATAGAACTGTTGTGAAACTTATGTCTATTGTTGCTAGTGTTAGATATGCAAGACAGAAATTGAAAGCATTTTAATCACGAAGCTACCATAAACCATACATGTAACTGTGCTGTGTAACATATACATTAATCATTTATGATCCAACAATGCTAAAATATGTATTTTAGTGGCGATCTTGACAAGTGTATTTAAATAAATTTTATATTGTAATTTGTTTCAAATTCCAAATGATGCTTAATACTGACTTTTGACCTTCCCAACGGTTACATTAGGACTAGGAATAGTAGGAGAGAGATATTCAATGGTATTTGCTTCTAAAAAATCTTCCAGGCCTTATACCATTGTGGCTTTTACCAACACAAATGAGCTTTCAATTTGATTTTGGTGGTGTTGTATGGCAAGTTGTTGTTGGACAGTGGGACTTGCTACAGATCATAGTTGGTATGTAGGCTGCAGTGCAGGAGAGTTAGACATCCACAGGTAGATTTAGACTTAGTTAGTTATCTTCACCAGACTCTTTTGCAGGCTGAATAGCAGGCAAACTGGACCCTCTATGGCTGACCAACTCCCCTTGCCAGCTACATTCTTTTTACTAAATTTTAGACTGATTTCTACCATTTATTCAGCCTGCAAAAGAGTCTGGTGGAGACTAGATTTAGTCCGGCAGCAGGAGGTGACCACAGTTCAACACTCTGCGACCATTTACTCTTCAAACAGAGGTTGTGGGGAATGATTGTTACCTTTTTATATATAGCTGTTTTTTTGTTGTTGTCCTGACCCCCACCCGTCGGTGGCTGCGGACCTTAGCGGCTAATGGATACTGCCTGTCTTTTTGCTACCGAGAGGAATTTGCTTGGAGATTAGGGACCACTGGTAATGAGCTTCCTTGCTGGGACTTAGCGATAAGCCACCTAATTGTGCATTTTTCAAAGGGTTACTCGACCTTCACCAGGGACCTCCCTAAACAATGGAGCAGTGGAGCTCCTCCACCCAGTCCTTATCTCAGCTCCACCCTGTTAATTTTCAAAACTAGTGTTTTTACACCCTTTTCCAGGGTTCTTTGGTCAAATTTACCGATATTTCGCACCCTCCTCCATTCTGTCCTAAATTTCTGGGGAGATCCCTGTTCACTGTACATTGGAATTCAACAATACAACGTACCACTATGATACCAGACACCTCAAAGGCAGGCTCTAGCCGGCTTGAATTTATTTTTCGTCATCATCGGATGATGTTGAGACTGAGAGTGGTTGTCGATGGTCCTTCGGATGTTTTCATAATATTTTTACCCAAGATTTTGGTTCATTTTGTTCGTCAAGGTCGACGGATTGGTTAAAAAAAATGTCCACCACACGCCCCGCAAAGCCCTGCTCAAAGGACGAACAACAACTGGCCTGCATTATCCTCAAATAACCTCCACAGGGCTTTAACAGTAACCAGGCCTTAACACGCAACCGCACGAACACACAACACAGGCTGCTACCGGTAACACTTTTTGTGTGTCATTCTTTTCTGAGGCTGCAATCTAAAGATAACCCTCAAACACCAAGGTTAAGTGGAAAACCGCAGGTTAGGAAATTGATTTTTGATGTGCAGCTTAAAAACGGAGAACATTTCCAGGACTTTCCACGCGCGGCTGTTCATATGTGACTGCTGGAGACTTGTTTTGATGGACTGGTGCAGTCTAATAATCAATTTGAAAGTTTTTAAGGGATTAAGAAGATGATGTTATCCTTACGGAGAAGCCTGACGCCCTTTTTCGTGGATTGGCCGAGTCCATTTTAGGAAAAGGTCATTCAATAAGTAATAGCTCATAATAGTCTGCCCTCTAGCACTTAAGTAATCTAGTCAAATAAGTGGCTTTCACCTGATAAAAGTCACACCTGAGGCAAATCACGAAGGTAAGAAAAGTTATTCTGCTAAAGCCTAAAGTAAAGGACATTTCAATTTGATCACTGGTGTGCAAGTAATTTGCACGCTGGATAGTTTTTGTAACTGCTAGCCTTTAGCAAGGAGGCCTTGACTTTAGATTTTGTTGTTGTTGTCCTTGCTTATAATGTCTAATATATTGCTAGACGTGGTCTCTTGGTGCTTGTTTTCGCATGGTTCAATTCAGAGTCAAAAGTTGAAGAATTTGAAAACTTCAGATTTTCTTTCACAAACTGGCAAGTGCATAATTTTAAAAATTTAAAGTCCAATGCCAGATTTTATCTGCAACTTGGCAGAAGTGGGGATTTTGAGGTTTGATTGGACAAGCAAAATGTTTGGGACAACAAGACATTTTTGGAACCACGAAGGGTCTTAATGGCTATGGTTTCAGGGCTCCATTTTTTCATCTTTCCATGCATGTATAAAGTTGGTTACTTTATACATGCTTTTAACCATGGTTGGTTAAATCCATGGTTACTAACAGACTGTTGTGTTTTGTTGTGTAAAACAGGGCCCCATTGAAAAGAAGTGTAATCACTTAATGGGCCACCCTGTATAAAGATGACGGAAATAAATAATTTAATAAATAAAAAAGAGGTTCCTAGGCAAGGATCAGGATAAAGGGTGTAGGCGTACCTGCAACTTTCAAGTGAGTATTTCGAGGGGGCCCGCAAGCCCTTTTCCGTAAAGCGGAGTTGGCCGTTGTCGGGCGTTGTCGGGACCCCCCCTTGCAGGCCCTCCCATATGCTTTAGAAGGTTAGACACCCAGGTGAACTCCAATATTCATACTCTCCAAGCAGAGGTTTGGGTTGGGGGTTATTTTTGGTGTGTTTTTAGGCTTTTTTATTGGGGTTTCTCTTTTGCACTGGAATTTTTTCTCACCCAACCCCAAACCCAAGCCTCTGCTTGGAGAGAACAAATATTATATTCATAGGAACTTCAAACTCTAGTACTGTTGGAATCTCCTAGTACTACTAGTACGGAGATAAATTTCCAGACGTTTTGAGTGACATCTACCACTCTTCTTCAGCGTCACTACTGAACTAACAGAACTTGTTATAAACAGATACTTTAAAGTATCCAGTAGTACTACTAGTATAGTTTGAATTTCCTTTGAATACAGCTCCCGGGGTACCATATGTTTGCATAATTTTTTTGGCATGCATGTGTGTGAAGTTATTATTATCCATGGTTACTAACAGGTTCCTCGGCAAGGAGCCTTACCTGTCGCCTGGGAGTCCACCACCAAACCTCGCTTGTTGCGGAGCATCTTGGTCTCCCTTGGAACTGTCTTGTACTTGTTCTAGCTTCTTCAAGTTCTTCTTGGCAACATTGGCACGATCGTCGAGTTGTTTCCTGCGTTCACCACTTCTGAGCGAGTCTGGATCGTGGTCCACGGCGGCCACTGAAGAAGGGTTCAGTAGGGAATATCCAAACACGAACAGCGCTACTGCGCCTAGGCCAGCCAGTAGGCCCATCCTGTACAGGAATCGCATCGTTTACTACTGAAACCTCTGCCTAGCTATCTAAAACTCTGTCAAGAACAACAACATAGCATCTCGCATCCTCCAAGTCAAGCAAGAGATGAGATTCAGAGATGCAAAGTTATAAAAGGTTGCGCGCATTTTTCTCCTCAACTGCACCAAGCCACAGCCACGCCAAACGACAGTACATCAAGTCCTAGGCATGTTTTTCCGTCTCCGCATAATTTTACGGCTCCAGGATCCACAAAAATCACCAAACAACAGTGCCTCCGTTCTGTGATGTGGCCCAGCTTTCGAAAATGTGATGTACACAACCCTTGAACCGACGCATGCGCAGCGGCGTCAAGCGGCGCAGCAGATATCCCGGGAGCCCTTACGCCCGGCCTGCCCGCTGATTGGCTGGTCTAGTGGCGGGAAAACTACGTCATACCTGAGGATTCCCGGGGTTTGCTGGGTCTGTGGCACGTGCCAAGCATGTATAATGTGTTTGTAGTACAGTACTTTGTGCGTTTACTAACAATAAAACGTAGCCTCCGTAGCATGCCAAAAACTGGTGGTTTTGGGGGTCTTCAGGGTCTTAATGGGAGCTTTTATGTGCTATTTTCTGATTGCATATAGACAACATTATCATAGCCGGCCTGGTTGAATTACCCCCGTTTTAGAACTGGGCTAATCAGAAAACAGCCGAAGACCACCAAACCCCCAGTTGCCCGCTGCGGAGGCTACAAATTATAAAGGTAGCTAGCTTTGCTTTAAAAAGGGGGATTCCGAAGTAAATTGGGGAAGCAAAAGGGGGAAGTAAAAGCACCAGGTTTGTGTTCCTGTTTCTACTGGCTCCTATTTTCAGATTTTTGTCGAGTTCCCTTTAATAGCCTAGTTCAAGTACCAAACCTATTATTATAATCATATTCATGTGTCCTACATTCTCAGCTATTTGCGGAGCTAGGAAGTAGGACTCGGGAGCTATCAGATAGGTTTGGTAACCAGGCTATTAAAGTTCCGCTATTCTGACACTAAGAAGCCCATACTCGTACTACTCGTACTACTAGGCACATAGGATCTGTGGCTGCACAGACAGTGTGTATTTCAAATCTGTCTGCTCAGCATTCGGTGCTCAGCCGGCGGACGATGGCATCTCCTAAGAAATACGAGGTGGGTGCGTTTTAGTATAGGCGAGTAGAGGTAGAATTAACATCCAATGGTATACTATAGTATAGGCTAGAAAAGGGACCAGGTAGGTACATGTAGGCTCCATGACTCTCCACCACTGACTCTTTTGCAGGCTGAATACATAAATAAATAGTAGAAATTGGCCTAAAAAGAATGTAGCTGACAGGGGGCCCAGTGGGGGGCATACATGTATATATAGAGGGACCAATCATAGTGCCTGCATTGATTCAGGGCTAGCCGCTAAAACTAAAGGTATAATGTTACACAGGTTTATATGAGGTAGAACAACTGGTGAAGGGTATGTCCACTCAATTGGTGATCGTCACTTCATATGAGCGTTTACCGTGTAATTTTAAACCGACTGACCAACTTCCGAAAATAGTTTCATCTGGTTCAAGGGTAAGACACAGCCTGAATTTGTTGAATGTCATGTACACATTCTTTGCTTGTAGGATGACCACACGATCTCCCTGGAGGAATTCTGTGCAAGATACAACACCAACACAGAAGTTGTAAGTATTAAAGCATACTCAGTTTCTCAGTGCCTCTAACCAGGCTTCGGGAGACGAAGAGAAAGAGTAGAAAGAAGTAGAAATTGGCCAAATAGAGAGATAACCTGCCGAGGGAGTTGGTCCGCTAGAAAGTACATTTTGCCACATCGGTGACTATTATATTATCCACACCATACATGTACAGTACGTGTGGTCAATTGTAGTACAAAGTTTCTTGTTTCACCTTGTCATTTCACAGTTGGTAATATCTGCCTCATCTGTGAAAAAAACATAAGATTTGGAATGATTTATTTGATAAGCTGTTTTTGAATTTAATTCACTGTACTGCAAAGTACAACCATTGTAAATTTTTGTTACAATCATTATTGTTATTAGCATTTACAATTATTATTATTGTTATTCTGCTGGTATTTATCATTTCTTGTAAGTCCTCTTGTATCTTAATTTGGTCAGGGGCATAAAAGGATACTCCTGTTTCCCTTGGCCATTCATGTGTGTGTAATAGATATGAAATAAATAAAAAAAATTGATATAACTAAAAAAAGTTGATATATACTCCTTCCAGGGCTTGACCAGTGCCATGGCTGCAGAAGTGTTAAAACGCGACGGACCAAACTGTATAACTCCGCCTCCCAAAACAAAGCAATGGGCCAAGGACTCAGTCAAAGGCATGTTTCCCAAGGTAAAAAAATTGTAATGGTGGCAAACTGAATTTTGCTCATAATCTTCCAATACATAATAAATGTATAGTGTTACAATTTTTTTTATATCCTAATAATAGGACAAAGATGAAATAGTTCTAGAGTAGAAAGGTAACATTTGCAAAGCAAATGAACAATGTTTACCTTCGCATATGGCCTGCTCTATTAAAACACATTCACATATATGGCAGGAGTCTAAATCCCTCCTGCTATAAAATTGCAACAAGATGTAACCCAACACCAGTTACCATGGTGACAGACGTCTGGTTCAGGTCATTGACCTCATTTGTTTAGAGAATAGGAAGAGGAAACAGAGCAAAAACATTATGTTTTCCTTCGGTAAACGTAACAAGGATGTTGATGACATATACATGTGCCTTCACATTATTATTTTGTAGTTTTATAGTATATGTATGTAAGTAATGTAAATAGTTTTGTATTCTTCTTTCCACTGATTTGCGATTACATGTATAATTTTTGTTTTCCAGCAAACTTTAGTAATCCGGGGTGGAGAGCCCCTTAGTGTGGACACTGAAAACGTCGTGGAGGGAGACCTTGTTCAACTGAAGGGCGGAGATCGTATTCCTGCTGACGTCCGTATTATCGAGGCCGATGGATTTAAGGTAACAGACATCATTACGCTAAAAAAATTGTCTTCACTTATTTCCATATTAATCAATAGTTTGTACTTATAAACCTGCTTTTCTGACAACTCTCAAGTGTCACTGACGAAAGGTAGTGGATGCTACCAGAAGCATCTGACCGTTTCCAAAATCATATCCAGGTGCATGAGTAACTGTTTTCTGGCGTATCTTATTACCTGGGTTCTTCACCGACGTAACAGACATCATTCACCATCCAAATGTTGCTGTCAGGTGGCATTCAAAGGCTTTTGTCACAATATTCGCATGCCCGTAGCCAGGATTTTGAATGGGGGGTTCTTCCCACTGCTTGAGGGGACCTCAAGCGCCGAAGGCGCAAGGTTCCTATGGGGGTCAGGGGGCATGCTCCCCCGTGAAATTTTGAAAAATGAACCTTCTGAAATGACATTTTAAAGAAAAAAATCAGAGATAACTTTTTTCAATGACAAAGTGAGCAGTTTTGCTATGATTCCAGCCTCGCTGGTGACACAAATCAGTCCGCCTTTTAAAGAAAAATCTTGGACCTTTAGATAAAAAGTGGACCTTTGAGCCTTGTGGGGCCCTCCACCCCCCCCCCGGCTACGGGCGTGATTCAAAACCGTTGTTGTTTTTCCACAGATCGACATGTCTCAGCTCACTGGAGAGTCAGAACCCCAGACTCTGTCTCCTGAATTCACCAACCCCAATCCCATAGAGGCAAGAAACATTGCTTTGGCTACCACTGTTGGAGTTGAAGGTAAAGCTCGAAGAGAAAACAGTTTTGGATAGAGTCTGTAATAGCAATGAAATAGATATAGAATACATCAAAAGAACCAATAAGGCCACACCAATTTAATTTCTTGGTCAACGGATTCGCTGCTTCATTTTTTTCTGATTTGACAAAAAAAAAAAAAGTTCAAGAATCAACTGCAAAATGCTCATATTTTGCCCTGAACAGTTGAAAACAGTCCTTTTCTTCCTAGCTGTTACAGTTATTCCATCTTTCAATGCACTGTATCATTAACAGTTCAAAATTCATTGTTTAAATTTTGAACCAGCCTGGTGTGTTGACGTCATGGCTCCTATCGTACCAATTTAGGCCATAATAGGATGCCTAGGCCTGTTTTTATTTATTTATTTTTTTCAAGAAAATCCGTTAACCAAGAAATTAAATTGGTGTGGCCTAAAGGCAATTTGTAATTTGCACTTTTAGTTGGTTTTCATGATGTTGTAATACGAAATGTATACTAAGTACATGGTCCTACGAGACCGATGAAATGCCTACTCTACTAAGTACATGTATATTGAAATGGACATTGTAAAGTCCTACACTGGTATTATAGGGTTCTGTATCTTGAATTTTCAATTCCCATATCTTGATTGCTTGTCTTTTTTTTTTCTCACCATTCCAGGCAGTGCCAAAGGCATTGTTTTCAACACTGGTGACCGGATGGTCATGGCCCCTACTGCCTCCTGGTCAGCCGATTGGACTAAGAGAGACACCAAGTCAGGGCTCGCAACACTGGGTGCATGTATTATATTCCCATACGTTGAATGCCCGGTTAAAAACAAGCTTGTCTTTTTTATCACCATTCCAGGCAGTGCCAAGGGCATTGTTTTCAACACTGGTGACCGGATGATCATGGCGGGTACTGCCTTCCTGGTCAGCCGATTGGATTTTGGAGAGGAGAGACCAAGTTATTGTTGCTGTTCGTAATGATTATCCCATCAAGTCACGTGACAAGAGAACTCCAAGACGAGATCTTAATCGGGTTGATGAAGAGACAGAGTACGTCTCGAAAGCTCCCCAGCATAGCTGAACTTTTTGTTGTGTGTTTACGTATAAATATTTTGTCAAAAAATAATCCAACTGTTCAGCCATCTCTCCATAATGCAGAAAAGGCCTCTGCTATGGTTTAAAACTACAGAAAAATACATGTTCAAATTACTGAATAAATATGCAATCTGTGCTAAAAGACTGATGTTGTAATTTTTATCAATCAGTTCACGCTGGGGCACCCAGGCTTAGATAACCCCTGCACCCCGTAACACACATTAGAGGCAGGGTTAACGTTACTTGCAAAATTGTTGACCATGATGGAGTGTTTATAATTTTCCCACGTACATGACAAACGTAATAAACCTTTAATTAGGCCACACCAATTTAATTTCTTGGTTAACGGATTATTAAAATAATGGAGCGGGCGGGCAAAAAAAAAAAAACAAGGCCTAGGCATCCTATTATGGCCCAAAATGGTACGATAGGAGCCATGAAGTCAACACACCAGGCTGGTTCAAAATTTAAACAATGAATTTTGAACTTTTAATGATACCATTGAAAGATGGAATAACTGTAACAACTAGGATGAAAAGGACTGTTTTCAGCTGTTCAGGGCAAAATATGAGCATTTTGCAGTTGATTCTGAATTTTTATTTTATTTGCAAATCAGAAAAAAATGAAGCGGGCGAATCCGTTAACCAAGAAATTAAATTGGTGTGGCCTTATAGTGGAGTTCACTGTAACCTTGAAATGAGACATTTAATAGTGATCACTAGTATCTCTCTCACTCTGGCATCTGGAGGCGAAGGGCCCGTATAATAAAATAATGTTAGTCTCCAGAGGAGTTGGCCGGCCATAGAGGATCATAGAGGGTCCAGCTTGCCTGCCGGCCAACTCCTCTGGCCAATGATGAGTTCCCCTTAGCCGATTTCTACTATTTATTCTGCCTGCAAAGGAGTCTGGTGGAGACTAGAATAATGTCAGCCTTACTGTATTAAGACTCTTCCACACTTTTCTACCTGTTGACTAATATCCAAGTAGATGCTACGGTGGCAAGACAGTTCAAGCCAATGGATACTGTGTTGCCACCGTAGCATCTGCTTGGAGATTACCTGCTGCCACTGCTTTCAATATCATATCAAAGAGTTTGGTTCATCCAAGGAGCTTTCATCGGTTCATCTATTAACTTTAATATTAACGTTAATACCATGTGCAAATACATTTGTGTAATCTCCAAGCGGATGGCAACAAAAGCATTACAGTTGGAACTGGACATCTAGGAATCTAGAGAGAGTCGGTCGTCTGGGCGGCTCTCTCTAGATCTCTCTAGGACTCTCTCTAGATCTCTAGATGACTAGTAGCCTCTACCAGGCTTCAGGAGGCGGCTAGAAAAAGTAGAAATCGGCTAAATAGAAAGATAGCATGCCGGGGGAGTTGGTCTGCTAGAGAGAACAGTTTGCTGCTCCCCAGACCAACTCCCTGGCATGCTATCTCTCTATTTGGCCGATTTCTACTCCTTCCAGCCGCCTCCCGAAGCCTGGTAGAGGCTAGATGGCTAGTTCCCTCCGACACGCTTTGCCTCCAGACATCTGCTTGAAGTTTGCCCTGACGTCATCTGACCCACAAGCCTCTGCGCCCGGGGTCCGCGGTGATTGGCAGGTCCGTGTCACGTGCTCACGCGTCACATCTCGCCCTTGTTCTAGGGAAAGATGGCGTCTCCCATGAAGGAGGAGGATCCGGTACGTTCTTTTTCCTTTTTTAGATATTTATTACGGGCATGTTTGGTCAGATTACCTTCATGAGAAACTAGTGAATGTGACCGCTGATCGTTTTTGCCGGTAAAGGTTCGTTGGTTCGCGTATGGTAGCGACGCCGGTAAAGTGGGCGGTGGCGAAAGCAAATATGTCGGCCAGCGTTGGTCGGGTCACCTTCATACATGACACAAAATCGCATGTTAACCCCGTCATTCGTTGGGTTAAATGTCCTAGTTCTCGGTAACTATTGTTATAATTTATCCGTGCAATAGTCAACGGAAGAGACTCTCATATGGCACAATTTCAGGTATGAAAGTCTTAAATTGGGGGTTTGGATGTCGTGCCATGCTCTGTTGCATATCCATGCATGGAGGGAAAGATGTCCGCCAGGCCTTCGATTCTCGTGTTTTTCCAAGGTCATTCCATTCCGGTCATGACACAACGGCCATGGACATGTCTTTGGGTTGCTAGATAGTTGTATTCGTGTAAAGGATACGGACTTGAAGTTGTTTTTGCATTTGTTCAGTTAAAAGCCTGAACAAACAGTCCTGAAGCCATTTTTTTGAGGCGCGTTGTCTGTGAGGTCACCGGGTACGCATGCCCAGATGAAGACATGTCTTTTGATTTAAAACGCAGCATTTGCCTCATTCATAATTAATCAGCACTGCATTATGTAAATGGTTTATTTTTTTCATAAATCCATGAACTACAGGTAGTACATTAACCAAACCTACTTAGTTACTAAGTATGTAGAAAGGTTTGGGGCCTTTTATACAAGCACATGGTTTGCAGCATGTCTATTTAGCACATGTATATTTGTTCAGTTACATAACCCTAACACACTACATGTCAGTTTGCTTAGAAAGGTCATAAGTTGAAGAATTTGTAAAGTCTTCAAGCTCAATTTTTGGATTAAACAGTGTTTTTTTGTGAAGGCATGATATATGTATTGGCAAATATTCAGAAGAATCAGTGCTTTATCTGAAACTTGCATTCCATGAGTTTTCTTCGAGTTAATGAATTAACATAATACTGGGATGATAAAGGGGATTTACGCTTGTCTGTGGCCTCTCAAGAAAATTTCTACTGTACCCAAAAAGAGTAGGAAGCAGTCTCAGGGCTATTGCACTGTCATGATGATCTGTCACTGAGTGTAACTTTCTAATGTATAATCATTAACTTACTGAAAGGCAAGAAGAAAATGCAGTCCCCTCAAGCTTGTGGGGTTGTGTGGTGTAACGGCAGAGCATTCGGCTCAGAACCCAGAGGTCCTGGGTTTGAGTCCTGCCAAGTCACCAACCTTGTGCTCTTGGGAAAGGCACTTCACACGACATTCCTCACTTCGCTCAGGTGAAAATGAGTATGCCAGAATGATCATTATCATGATCGTTGGCATTGAAGGAAAACCAAACCAAAGCTTTTGTATTCATGACCACCGAGGCTAGTACTAGAGATTATTTCGTATTTTGTTTTACATGGTCCCTCATTATCTACGAACTAATCTAGCAAGTATTCCTGATGGAATTCTGCTTGTAATTCATATGCTAATCACAATGTTAGTGGTTATTCCACCTGCTTCTTGGGTGACCCAGCAGCAAAACTGCTTGGCTGAAGAGTAGAAAAGCAGGGTAGTTTCACCTTGGTTGGTACTTTGTAGAAGCTTAGTTGAGTTTCGTTCACCAGCATTTTGAGTACAAACTACCCTTTGTGGATAAATCACCAAGATTCGTCATGTGTTTCAAGTGATTTGTGGGCAATACTAGTATTCTATTCTTGTCAGTAATTTTGTTACGTGTACTTGCTACAAGAAGAGTACTATGCACCAAGCTTGACATGTACATGCTTGTAATTAGCATATGTAATTAATCATGCAGTGTCTAATCTAATCAAGGAAGAATTTAGTAAGTTATATAATTATTCACATCTTTTCAGAACATAATTAACATTTATCATACAAAATGTACTGAAAAAAATATACACCCAAGGGTAAAGCACATTTACCCTTGAAGACATTATGCAGTGTTGCCCTTTTGACCTCATTTTTATGCTTGAACAGCTGAATACACGTGAAATTTGCATGTGCGTTTCACGAAAACTGCAGTCTTTTCATTTTATCTTCATATTTTGCTACTCAAAGACAATACAGAATTTCTGTTTGGAATTTGTTAAACTCAAAGTGAACTGTTGAAGATTATGTATTAAAGCACCAAGAGGTTTTGCATTATTTGGAAATGATTGTACCATCCAGTGTTAAACCTGCACACATTTTTGTAATAAAAAAGGTGGTGATTTTTGGTCTAGATTGACATAAGTTTTGGCTTATGCATTCACCCAAATGCACTGCAAAATTAGGTGCCTAGATCCATAAGAATCTGTCTGGACAGTGGCTATATCTTAATCTAGTTAGTAGACATCCTTCCATATCGAGAGATGATGGTAGCACTCTAGTCTAGGGCTATATTTAATCTAATTATCACTGACTAATGATCCTTAAATTGCAGATGGTTGGTCTGTATGGCAAAAACCACCACAGTCCATGTCTCTCAATTAGAAATTCCCGTTGTTTGCTGGAATTTCTTTCATACTTCAAGTAACCAATGTGAATGAACTTCAAGATCCCTGACCAGCAAGGGAAACACAAAGCTGTATGAGTCTATGACTAGATAACATCAGGCTTTTAGCTAGGATTTTTTTGTTGCATGTCCACATTTTTAATTGTGTGCTATGCACACCGAAGTCGCGTGGTGTGCGACACAATTACAAGCTTTTTAGGGGGCTTTTTGAAATTCGTAATGCTCTCAAACACTACTTCTTTCATTTTGAGGTGCACATTTTGAGGAATACAGACTGCAGCCAAGTTTTTCCTTTGTTACATCAGTTTTGTATATATATAGTAAGGCTGAAGGGAGGCATGTGTGCATGGCAGGGGTTGGGAGTGGGAAAAATAGGGTGTCTTTAGGGTGTCCTACCAAAAAAGTAGGGTGTCCAAATTCTTATTTTCAGTGCAGGGCGTCCAAAAGACACCCAAGACACTCCCTAGCTAAAAGCCTGTGTCATCCATGTGGGTGGAAAACTTGGAGCAGGAAATTTACATTGTATTTGACCTGCAGACCCTATCCGTAGCATTTGCTTTTCTCAGAAAAGTACAGTGACTTCCTGTATGACAAGTTTGGAAAGTCCAGAGTTTAGAAGCCACTTGCCTGCTTGTAGACTGGGGACTAACTTCATGGCTACAGAGAAGTTAACATGTTCATTAAACAAAGGAACGATTTATGACAACAATTTTTATGATTTTATGAGAGAGTTTGTTTGCAGATCTTGCCAACATACCATAGTAACCACTATGCTAAGCTGATAGTAACTAATATTTCAAGATAGAAGAATAGAACACCATATCATCGTGTTGCAATATATGTTTATGGGCACAGAATGTCAAGGACTTGAAGGGTAAAATGTAAGATAGAAAGTTTTTTTTTTAATGTCTTAAAATGAAGGTAGAAAGACATGAATATGAGAAAGTTCAGAGAAAGTTTTAACTGATTGTTCATCTCATGAAAATGTCATCAAAGTTATACCATGTGGGCAAATTGCGTTATGAATGCTTATTAATAGGACTTACAAAATGTAGAACCATTCTGACTGTTAACTTGTTTGTCACGGGGTGAAGAAAAATCAACGCCATGGCCAGTATTTGTATCTGTATAACCGGTCAAACCACCCGTTGGCATAACATACCAGCTGGTGTGACCTTCTGATTAGTCAACTGCAGGAGGACAATACAAGTCCTCCAAAACACACAGACTTCACATTTCTTTGGTATAAACTATAATGAAAGAAAAACATTGGTCCTATGTTTGAATTTTAGTCTCTTTATAAATTATGTATGTGTACCTGAGTAACATAAAAGCTTAACAGTTATCTCTGAATTTTGCAGTTTGAATCTTCATTGACGATTAAATGCAAATATTTGTGAAGCTGACTGGAATTTTGAATACTTGGTAACAGTCTTGCTATCAAGAAAGGATGGGGAAATTAAAGCTGTTTCATATCTTTTTTTGGTTACAGCAAAGGACAGATAGCTATCGTGTTGCAGTTACGCCTGCAGTTCCCGACGATGGCCGAAATCCAGACGGGACCCCGAAGCCCGCCTCCGGCAAAGGCAAGGGCAAGGGCAAGGGCAAGGAGACCGAAAAGGACAAGAAGGAGAAGCTGGAAGATCTGAAACAGGAGATGGAAATGGTATGTGAAAAGTGACTTGTCTCTTGATGCTCATGCACTACTCTTTTCTCCTTCTTTTGTTGTACAGCGTGCTCTAGGAGAACTGGTGTTTTTAAAAGTACAATTAGAAGTGCAATAGACAGAACAGAGTGAACTAAAGTTAAGGAATATACATGTAGTAGAAAGAACTGACGATGTTGTATGTTATATACAAATTTTGTGCTGAAATATAACAAACTCTCTTTATTGTAGGATGACCACAAGATCCCTGTGGAGGAACTCTGTGCAAGATACAACACCAGCACAGAAGTTGTAAGTATATTAAAGCATACTAAATTTTTCTGTCCTAATGTATTACCTGCATGTACATGTGTTGTCATATTGATACTGTGACTTTCCAAACTTTCACAGGTAGCTACATCTTCTGCATTTATTAAAAAATTCCAAATCTCTCCTGTAGCTGCTGTTTCAACAACATATACATGTAGCAACAGCAAATTTTGCAAGTTAATTTGCTGCACAGCAATGTGTAACCATATTGCTCTAATCTTCTTTCAGGGCTTGACCAGGGCCATGGCTCAGGAAGTGTTTGAACGCGACGGACCAAACTGTCTAACTCCACCTCCAAAAACACCGGAATGGGTCAAGTTCTGTAAGCAGCTGTTTGGAGGTTTCTCCACCCTGCTGTGGATCGGAGCCATTCTCTGTTTCTTGGCTTATGGCATCCAGAAGGCAACGCAGGATGAAGTCCAAGATGACAATGTAAGCTATATTTTGGCAATAAATAATGCAATATTAATATAGGTTTATTGCAAATTCCCGCCCGAAGGGTAATTGCAAATATAAAGATAAAAGAACATTCAAACAGAGTACAAAAATAACTTCAAAATCTACATGACAAAAGGTAATTGTCTGAAAAGATAGCTATGTCTAAAACTATGTCTGATAAAGTATTAATTGTCTGGGCTCAGTATAATCTCTTGTGTCTTGTTGAATTTTACCTCTTAGATATCTATTATTAGTGATTTACCATGTTTTGCACTGCTGTATCCAGTGTTCTAGACAGCCTGAATTTTTTTTTGTAAATTGTAGTAGGCATGCTCAGCAGTATAATCTAAACACGGATAGTGAGTGAGTGAGTGATGCTCCCCTATTAAAATTTAGAAATCTCGACCCCCTGGAGCACTATTTGCTGCATTTGGAGTGCTAAAATTTGCCGGTAGACTAAGCTTAGTTTAATGACGTCTTGTGTCACCTGTGTGGATACAAATTACTGAGGATATTCAGTGTTAGAGATACCCATTTGCAGAGAAATTTTGATTGTCGCAGAAGTAATTTGCAGACTGAATAAATCAAGCTAGGGGTTCAATTGTGTCAGTATAATTATTCAAGTTGCATGTAAAATGTTTGCCAACATATAAGATTTAGTGTGTATTTGCAGAAAGTATTTCAGAATTGCAGAACAGAATTTTGACATTCTGCAATATTGCAGAACTAGTGGTGCATACCGGTTCAATGTACTCGGATCCTTGTAAGAATGTTTAGGTTCAAGTCCAAAAAAAACTAAAAGTCAAGAACCAAGTCCGGACTTATTACCATAAAAGACCATTTCACATACCCCTTTTCTTTCCAAACCACCTAAAACCTTCCGTAGATTGCAAAATCTTTGCTGCAAAATGAAGAAAACATAAATGCCATTGGGCATCGTCAAGTGTCGCCCTCCATGTTATGTGGCCAAAGTTTCACTCAGATAACATTGCAAGGTTGCCAACATGCAATTTTGTATATGCCAAAATATATGTATGTGTATATGCCATGGGTTTAGGTCCGGACTCATAACTGAACCTAAACCTCTGGACTTGAATCCGGACCTGAACCTAAATGTTGGTTTAGGTATGCAGCACTATGCAGAACACTGAAAAAAGTATTTCTACCGCTGATATTTATTGATCTCTCCCACCCCTCAGCTGTACCTGGGAGTTGTGTTGGCCGTGGTGGTTATTGTGACCGGCTGCTTCTCGTACTACCAGGAAGCTAAGAGCTCCAAAATCATGGACAGCTTCAAAGGCATGGTTCCTGAGGTAAGAAAGTCTGTAATAGTGGGGAATCAGATTAGTCATATGACACTCCAACCCTTTTTGAATTCTACAATAGACGTTAATGTCAGTTAACCACACACTGTACTTTTATGTTCACTGTTTTCACTGTCACCTCTGTACTGTAAACTTATCATTACACTTAACAAATAATTCCTGGACTTTCTTGTTCCTGCACCTGTCGTCACCGTGAATGTATAGTTCCGTGAACATGTCCATATTTCTCAGACGGTGAAATTTTGCTACTGTGAACATAAGTGAATTACAGTATAATCTGTGTAGCTAGTAGCTTTGATACGTTCAGTAGCTGCCTAGTGTCCACATTTTATTGTCTTGTTGCAATCTCAATTAAGTTAATCTATGTAAGTGATATAACTAATGGGCATAGTTTTGTGTTCCTCTTTTCACTGATTTGCAATTTTAATTTTTGTTTTCTAGCAAGCTTTGGTTATTCGGAGTGGAGAGCCCCTTAGCGTGGACACTGAAAACGTCGTGGTGGGAGACCTTGTTCAACTGAAGGGCGGAGATCGTATTCCTGCTGACGTCCGTATTATCGAGGCCCGTGGATTTAAGGTGAGAAACATCATGCACTGTTCAAGCTTTGCCGTTCAATGGCATTGAGAGATGTACTTTCATACATGCTGCAGTACATATCTGGAACAGTCTCCCAGACAATGCGGTCAGCCTAATCACTGACAACAACCTCCAGTCATTTAAACAAGAGTACACTGGCATCTTCTTTCCACCATCAGGACTTCTACATGTAGCTAGAACCTTGCAGTTGCTGTAAACCAATGATTAGCCAGGATTGTTTCAACCCAGGCAATGTAAAAAAAATTCTTAATGAATCTTAACTAATAACTGTCATTGTTTTCCCACAGGTTGACAACTCTTCACTCACTGGAGAATCCGAGCCCCAGAGTCGGTCTCCTGAATTCACCAACGACAACCCCTTGGAGACAAGAAATATCGCCTTCTTCTCCACCTTCGCTGTGGAAGGTAAAGAATTCTGTGACAACTTTTGAATCATCACTCTTTTTATCTGATATCTAGTTCAAGTTTTAACAAAATCTTCTAATGATTTTAAGGAATGTTGTGCAATAACTGTTATGTGTCCAATGACTTGGGCTCTCTGTCTTTTTCTTATTTGCAAATAAAGAATGATTTTACTACATGTACCCTGTCTTTCCCTGTCAGTGCTTGAAATATGCAATTCCAAATATTTTGATTTGCGCTATGAAACATAAGTTTCTCTCTTTATTACCTCCAGGCAATGCAAAGGGTATTGTGATCAACACCGGTGACCAAACTGTGATGGGCCGTATCGCCATCCTGGCCAGTGGACTGGACGTAGGAGACACCCCGATTGCCAAAGAGATCGCCCATTTCATCCACATCATCACCGGCGTAGCCGTGTTCCTGGGTGGGTTCATTTGTTTATTTGATAAGACCTCCACCAGTGAGTTTATACAATCATATGCTGCAATTTTCTTCCTGGAGTCATAAAAGTTACAAATACATGTCATTACAAACCTATTAACACATTAAACGTACATACACTTGCCTTAACACTCCAGGGCTGGAAATACTGGGTGCATGTGCACCTTAGTGCAACCAAATTTGGAGCTGTGCACCCAATTTATTTTCTGTTGGTGCACCAGTGCACCCAAATATATCGGTTTACGTATGTAAAGATGTTAAATGTATAGTAGTGTCCAGCCTATTCTTAATATCTAAGGATCAATGAAATAATAAAATCATTGTTATAGTACATTTATTTAGAAATGAAACATAATTAGTTTTTGCTGACATTCTACTTATTGTATTTTATATGGTGCACCCAAAACATTTTTTGTACGCCCAATTTTTTTAGTTTGGGTCCACCAGTGCACCTATTACCCAAAACAATTTCGAGACCTGACCTATAACTGTTACTTTGTCCCCTTAGGTGTGACCTTCTTTATCATTGCTGTGAGCTTGGGATATGAGTTACTGGATGCTGTCGTGTTCCTCATCGGTATCATCGTCGCCAATGTGCCCGAGGGTCTGCTGGCTACAGTGACGGTACGATTATTTCTTTGTCCTTTATTTCAGGCATCCATGGCCCATATAAAAGAAAACATACAAATAGAAATACACATAGCAACAACAGTTAAAGATATGACTATTGCTTAAGAATCTGTTGAGGAAGATTACATCGGATTTGAGAACAGATTGGATGATGTTATTTCAGGAGTTGTACAGAAGTGATATGAAAGATCTATTAATTCCTCCTTCAGTTTGATAGAATGGAAACGGACACTTTTAGGGGTTTTGTAAGTATGTTTTTTAAGTAAAAAGTAAAAAAAGGACTTGCCACAATCAATTTCACTAAATGTTGAGTTTGTAATGTGGTGTAGCTTTCATGGCGTATTATTTTCTAATTTTTGCTCCTGACCTAAGTGTACTTAAAAGAACCCAACACACATTGAAAAGAGTAGGGTTGACTTTGAAGTACAAAATGTATCATGCTTCACCTCAGTTGATCATGCACTGCTTTACCTTTCTCAGTATTCACAGTTACATTCTACTGTTGCAGGTATGTCTCACACTGACCGCAAAGAGAATGGCAAAGAAGAACTGCCTGGTTCGTAACCTGGAGGCTGTGGAAACGCTGGGCAGCACGTCCACCATCTGCTCCGACAAGACCGGGACCCTGACACAGAACCGGATGACCGTGGCCCACATGTGGTTCGACAACCAGATCGCAGACGCAGATACCACAGAAGATCAGTCCGGTAGGAACTTCAACATTGCTTTACACTTGATACTTACCTGCATACCTGCAAACCATCTTTGGATTGGTAGGCTTTAGCCTGTGGGTCCTGATCTTCCCTCCAGTTTGTACTTGAGATGTACATAATATTGGCCCAGGTCTTATCCAGTCGGTTTTTAAACTCATTGACTGTTTTCGCTTCCACTACTGCTTGTGGCAAAGAATTCCAGTCCTTCACAGTTCTAACGCTGAATGACTGTCCTCTGACCCTCTTCTTAGCTAGTGGTACTTTGAGTTTATACTTGTGCCCTCTTGTCGAGCTATCAGCTATACTTGATAATCTTTATCTGCTTTTTTGCCTCCAATGGGCCATGGCAAAGTAAACTACACACATGACGATGATTTAAAGTTAATGGTAGCTCACTCTAAGTCTGATGTTGTGGCTGCGTTCAACATCTAGTGTGGCTTATCAGCCTGATTTTGACAGTTTGGGCACAAGACAGTCTGTGATTGTGCATACACTATGGTACTTAAAATTTGCGTTCGGACTCTTAAAACCTTTTCAATCGCAGAACAGTCTGGATGTCTGAGTCTCTAAACAATGTTTACAACTACTTACAGGTGCTTCATACGACAAGAACAACCCAACCTGGCTCTCCCTGGCTCGCGTCGCTGCTCTCTGTAACAGGGCTGCGTTCAAGGCTGACCAGGAGGGAGTGCCTATCCTTAAGAGGTAATATCAAATATCAATAAGCCCACAATCTGCAATTTTGCATCGTTAAGTTGAGAAGGTTGTAATATAGAGGCTTGTGTATTTGCAGAAAGTGTTTCCAAATTATAGAACCAAATTTTGACTCGTCTTCATTATTGCAGAATGTTGAAAGAAAGTATTTCTACCGCTGGATACGATAATGCTTTTTGTATGAATTCAAATCTTAACCATCAACCCTACCACAGTGTCTTCAATCTTAGCGGTATCACTAACTTGTCCTCCTGCTAAATGTAATTGTAATCTAATTGTTTGTTCATTTAGAAGAACTGAATTCACTTCTATCAATAATAAACATTACATATAATATGATATTGCTTATTTTATGAAAGTAAATCTCACAGCAATTTTCTTCAAAGTTTAAAGTTAAAACTTCGGGTCGAACACAAAGAAGTTCTCTTACCTAGAGCTTTCGACCAGTCACTCTGGTCTTCCATATTAGACTGACCCAGTGAGGCTTGTTACGTGGCAAGTTTGAACTTGTAACTACCAACACAGATGAACCTACTAGTAATTTTTCTTCAATCTTACTTAGTGGTGTGTGCTTAATGTCCTCTGAAGGAATGTTTTATTGTGCATTAAATTAAGAAGTAGTGAATTCGATTCTATCAGATTTTGCACATGTAGTTATGACAAGCTACTTGCAATCACAATACATAATTTTATTTTTTGACATGTGTTTAATGTGAATCCATTTCCAGGGAAACAAGTGGAGATGCTTCTGAATCGGCTCTGCTGAAGTGCGTGGAACTTTCCTTGGGCGGGGTGACTGCCATGAGGGCAAAGAATGAGAAGATCGCTGAGATTCCATTCAACTCAACCAACAAATACCAGGTACAACATCCTGTGTGAACTACATTTGTGTCAACAGTTGATGAAGAAAATTAAATTGTTCTCCAACTCAAAAACGAAATCAACTCACCCAAAATTTTCGACTGAATCGCTCAGTCTTCATCAGCTTTATGATCCAAGTGCTGTGGACACGTGACTTTTAGGCATGCTAGTATCAACTTTGGAACAATCTTCCGGAGGCAATAGCTACGATAAGAGAGACAAGAAGTAGTTCAAATGATAAGTTCATTCTTTCCTCAGCGCAAAACTGACAGCATTTCGTCGTGGCAGTCTGGCTTCTAATGCTGAGTGAAAAACAGCAGCATTACATGCATTTGTGCGAAGTCACTTTGAATTTTGGTGTCTGTAGGGTGACTATGCCTAAAAACTCAAGCAACAGGATATGATTTTGGAAACGGTCAGACGTTTCAGGTAGCATCCACCACCTTTCGTCAGTGACACTGGAGAGTTTTCAGAAAAGCAGGGTGACTTTCTGGCTTTAGCAAGTGATAACAAGGTTATTTTGCGTCTCTAGCCTTGCCATAAATGCCTAATAATTCCTTCTCATCTATTCTTCAGCTTTCCATCCACACACAAGAAGATCAGAGTGACCAGCGCTACCTGCTGGTGATGAAGGGAGCTCCGGAGCGCATCCTGGACCGCTGCACCACCATCATGCTGGAGGGCAAAGAGGCTCCCATGGATGACGACATGCGCGAGGCCTTCAACAACGCCTACCTGGAACTGGGAGGGCTGGGAGAGCGTGTGCTTGGTATGATTCAAGTTTCCAGAGTATGTCTCAGATGTATGGATCTATTTTTCAGACATCCCTGGGCACACACATTTAAAAATACAGTCGTGAAAACAAACACACAATTATATACAAAGAGACAAAGATCCTGGGTGAAACCAAACCTTGCATAGTCCACAGTTTAAAAACTTACCTTTCTTGTGCGATTTTTGCTGCCCAGGTTTCTGCCACTACTTCCTCCCCGAGGACAAATTCCCCCGAGGGTACGAGTTTGACACCGAAGACGTGAACTTCCCGCTGGAGGGATTCTGCTTCGTGGGCCTGATGTCCATGATCGACCCGCCCCGTGCCGCCGTGCCAGACGCTGTCGGAAAGTGCCGTAGCGCCGGTATCAAGGTAGGAACTCCGACAAAATGACTCTTGCACCTTAACGCACCGTTTGGTATCAAAATAGCCCCGTACCATCTCTGCTAAAACTGCTTAATAGGGACAAATGACATGTTTAACGGCTAAACCAACCACAATCTCCAATGTTTATATTACCCCTTGTATTATTTTAACTCTTTGTAATATTTTAAGTTATCTGTGGAAGCGAGTTGTGTGTGTCTTTAATGTATGTAAGTCAAACGTTTTTCAGCCAGAAGTCTGCAATGTTTTATAGAAATTCATTCATTCATTCATGAACTCAAAGGATGACTCTCATTTTGTCCTTGATTTCAGACAGCTGTGTTTTATATATGGTTTCTCTAAGATGAAGAGTCAATAGAACAAGCACCTACAGTTTTGCACTGGCATTGAAAATTCTGAAATGTATTGCGCGGCTTCATGTAACACAAGTGATTTTATATAATACACGTTTAAGCTTTGAGAACTATTTTTCATTATCATTGGTGTATTGCTTTGCAAACAAAGATATTCTGTTGTCTATTATAGGTAATCATGGTGACTGGCGACCATCCCATCACAGCCAAGGCCATTGCCAAGGGCGTGGGAATCATCTCGGAGGGTAATGAGACGGTGGAGGACATCGCAGCTCGTCTTGGCATCCCTGAAAATGAGGTGGACCCAAAGTACGTCAGAGAATCGCCTTGTCACTGTACTAGTATAGCAGGGCTCGAAATTCATTTTAGGGAATAGGTGCACTGGTGCATCCAACCTAAAAAAATTGGTGTACCCAAATTTTTTTGGGTGCACCATTTCAAATAATCTTAAAGATTTTATAACTTTTCTGACACCTACATGTCAAGAATATGTTGTATACCAGTATACATTTAATATCTTTACATATGTAAACCTTTAAAAATGTTTGGGTGCACTGGTGCATCCATAGAAAAAAAGTTAGGTGCTCAGCTCCACATTTGGGTGCACATGTACCCAGTAATTCAAGCCCTGTTCACCAACCTGATGAAATTATTTCTGTGCTTTCCAGAGAGGCGCATGCGTGTGTCGTCCACGGAAGTGAGCTGAGGGACATGACATCGGAGGACCTGGACGCAGTACTGAATAACCACACCGAGATCGTGTTTGCCCGCACGTCCCCCCAGCAGAAGCTGATCATCGTGGAGGGCTGCCAGCGTGCGGGACAGATCGTGGCCGTGACTGGGGACGGTGTGAACGACTCGCCTGCCCTCAAGAAGGCCGATATCGGTCAGTAAACAATGCTGTTATTTCATATTTTGTTTGTACAACTCCTCAAATAACATCATCCAATCTGTTCTCAAATCCGATGTAATCTTCCGCAACAGATTCTTCTGCAATATCTGGGTCCATCTGTACTCATAGTCATATTTTTAACTATTGTTAGTATGTGTATTTCTATTTCTATGTTTTATTTTATCTATATGGGTCAAGAAGGCTGATATCGGTTAGTAAAGACATGTTTTGTTCACAGCCTTGAGACTTTGCAGGGCTCGAAATTCATTCTTGGGAATAGGTGCACTGGTCACCCAAAAAATTGGGTACACAAAAATGTTTGGGTGCACCATATAAGATTAAATAAGTAGAATGTTAGCCAAAACTATTTATGTTTCATTTCTAATAGAGAAAAGTACTATATCAATGATTTCATTACTTTTCCCACACCTAGATGTGAAGAATATGTCGTATACTACTATACATTTAACATCTTTACATACGTAAACCTACAAAAATATTTGGGTGCACTATTGCACCCACAGAAAAAAAATAGACCCCATTTTTGTACCTGATTTTGAAAGACATATTAATTGCTACATTAGACAATCTGAGATTTGAAACCTATGGTTTAGGTTTCATATTTAATGAAAGTGGATTGAATTTTTACCTACAAGACCTAAAGTACCTATTTTGGCCTCCAAAAGTTTCACAGTCCAACCTGTTAACACCAAACACTATGTAATGTTACCCGTTTTCCCGTATGTATAATTGTTGACTTATGAATGTCAGCCCAGCTTACTGTAAGTCAGTGTAATATATAGTAGAGGGGATTCATTCCTCAAGCTAACCGACATCTTGCACACACAGTCGTCCCTCAGTAAGACATCTGGAGCCACATAGTTCCTGTTTAGAACTTTTATTCAGCCTGTCACACAACCGGTTTCGCCTGTGTGGCTTCTTCAAGTGTACAGACACTAAATAAGTAAGTAAGTCAGTGTAATGTACTGTTGCATTTTAAATGAATAGATAAACATCAAAAGGCTGACTGAGGTGTCCAATCTTACAGGTGTGGCCATGGGTATTGCTGGAAGTGACGTGAGCAAGCAAGCTGCTGACATGATTCTGTTGGACGACAACTTCGCATCCATTGTGACAGGAGTAGAGGAGGGTGAGCAACCTTGATTTTCAGTTAACATAGGATGTTAATTTTTTAACTTCTAGATGTAAGTGTACTTTTTTGAACCAGGTTGCCCAGTGGACAACCTACAGCAAAAATTAGGTTGCCCATCAGAATTTTTGACAATATTTTTAACAGCCTTTAGTTAACTGATACTAGCAATAGCCATTCATACCTAAAATTTAAAAGCATCTGCTGGATACAGTGGTTCAAGCCAAGTGGACATGATTTGGGGGGGGGGGCATTCTAAGTAAAATTTGGTTGCCCGGGGCAACTGGGCAACCATGTATTTTGCACACTGTCAATGCTAAAGGTTGCACTGTTGATATTAGCTGGTAGTCTTGGGTGTCTTGTAATCTGTCATGGGCTGTTAACTTAAAGAACTGGGAGGAATCTATAATTCATATAAAATGTTTAGGCAATGGCAAACTGAACATTTATCTGTACCTTCTACCTGACCACTTTCATGGTTGTAACTTGTATATGTCATATACTTTTTACAATGTTTTTTTTTTCCTCTTAATGCCCACGATCATGATAATGGTCATTCTGGCATACTCATTAACACCTGAATGAAGTGGGGAAAGTTGTTTAAAGTGCCTTTCCTAATGATACATTGTTGGTGAAATGGCAGGATTCGAACCCGGGACCTCTTGATCCTGAGCTGAATGCTCTGCCCTTACACCCCACTACCCTACTGGATGCCTATATTAAAGCAGAATTCGGACTAGCGGCCATCATTTGTAACCCTTCTTATGTCTTCCTGCAGGGCGTCTCATCTTCGACAACTTGAAGAAGTCCATTGCCTACACCCTGACCAGTAATATTCCAGAGATCACCCCCTTCCTGTTGTTCATCCTTGCCGACATTCCCCTGCCCCTGGGAACTGTCACCATCCTCTGCATCGACTTGGGAACTGATCTGGTGAGTCTACATTTTGTATAGCAGACAAACTATGTAATTATGTTTCCAAATGTTTCAAAAAGAGAGAAGAAAGGGCAACTAACAGTAGATGATAGGTAGTATATAGTATTGTTATAATGTATACATTCGTAGCAATTAGCATTAGAATATAGCGTCCCAGTATGCAATACTCATGTTTTGCATACTGCGTGTCCTCTTGTGCATTTAGCCCATCTGGGCAAGAACAATAGTCATGCAATAAAGATTCATATCATATCATTAACTCCTTCGGTCAGTGAGTACATCTATGGAAAGCTGTCATTATTTTCCAGTTCATTTGTGAGGAGATGGCAAGAAATCGGCAATTTCTATATTAAAATTTACTACAAGACGTGGTGACGTCACACTCAAGTTTTGAACTTCTTTTATGCCACCTCCAATGCAGACAAATGCATGAATGGACAACAGGCATATTCATTTTCACAGGAAAGTGAGGAAAAAAGTTTCTTTCCTAAGAGCACAAGACTGGTGGCATGGCAGGGTTCGAACTCAGGACCTCTTGGTTCCGAGCTGACTACTTTTGGCAATTGTTATGGTATAGCCATGGTCATGTCTGTCTGCAAAGTATGTAACTAGTGCTGTGTACCAGTTTGCTGAACCGGTTCTGGACTTATTAAAAAAAAAAAAACATGTCACATACCCCTTTTCTTTTCAAACCACCTAAAACTTTCCATAGATGCAAAATCTGTGATGCAAAATGAAGAAAACATTCAATTTGCCATTGGGCATTGTCAGGTGTCGGCCGTAATGGTATGTGGCCCAAGTTAGCCCAAACAACGTTGCAAGGATGCCAACATGCAATTTTGTATATGCCATGGGTGTAGGTCCAGTCTTACGAGTCCGGAACTGAACCTAAACCTCTGGACTTGAATCGAGACCTGCACCTAAATGTGGGTTTAGGTACACAGCACTATATTTTTGAAGTCAGTCCCCTGCAGGCCTTCATGTGGCTGTGTAGTCCAATTCTCGACCTGCAGGTCCTACGGCAGGACGGGCATGTGAAGGTCTCTGCTGCTGTCGGCTGAGTGACTGCAGCCTTTCATCTTCGAACTCGAAGAAGAAGCCAACAACAACAACAACTATATGTGTTTAAAGTTAAAACTTTTGGTCCAACACAAAAAATTCTCTCACCTAGAGCTTTCGACCAGTCACTGTGGTCTTCCTCAGTAGACTGACCCAGGCTTGTCTCGTGGCCTCTTTGAAGTGTGACGTTTTTTGTGTTGGACCAAAAGTGTAACTTCCAACACAGATGAACTTTCATGATAACAACTATATGTAACCGTTGCTGCTCTTGTCTGCAGGTGCCCGCCATCTCTCTGGCCTACGAGGAAGCCGAGAGCGACATCATGAAGCGCAAGCCGCGCGACCCCAAGCACGACAGGCTGGTGAACGAGCGCCTCATCAGCATGGCCTACGGGCAGATCGGCTTCATGCAGGCCACCTCCGGCTTCTTCGTCTACTTCATCATCATGGCGGAGAACGGCTTCCTGCCCTGGAAACTGCTGGGCATCCGCGCCGACTGGGAGGACAGAACCATCAACGACTTGGAAGACTCCTACGGCCAGGAGTGGGTGAGTAAAAAAAAAAAAGCACCGGGTTCTTGTAGATTTGGCAAAGAGTGCCAAAGACATCAGAGAGATACAACTATGATTTTGTAACGTGTAAATAATGTCAGAAGCAATACAACTGCCTCAATTCCATTGTAAGACTGTGTAGCCGTGAACATTTTAGAACAATGTACATCTATGAACACAATTAAGCCTTCAGCTGCAATGTTCATCATTGATCAATAAACCATTTTTCATTTTTTTTTGATTGATTAGAAAAATGCTTAGTTTGTTCTTTGGGTGTAATTGATATTTTTTTGTTCGCTGTATACAAGCATAGCAATTGGAAGGAATTTTTTTTTAAATCACTCATTGTTTGAGTTTAAAATAAAAAGGCATGGCAAATTATAACGGACACATTGTAGTACCACAAAGGTACCAAAATTTATCCAGTAGTAGAGTTTGAATTTCCTGTGAGTATTGTTTACCTGGATGTCTAACCGTCATCAACGTTTTTATCTTGTTGGTTTCAGTCGTTTGCTCAGCGCAAGATTATTGAGTACACCTGCCACACGGCTTTCTTCGCTAGCATCGTGATTGTGCAATGGGCTGACGTGGTCATCTGCAAGACTCGCCGCAACTCACTCATCCACCAGGGAATGAGGTAAGCTCTTTTTGATTCACAAGTTTTTTGCTCCTAAATTTTCAGTTCAATTGCGGGCCATGAAATTGTCTCACGGGTTCAATCTTTGGCCATAATCCAAGTTTTCACAAATTTGCAGTATCGAAAATTGTTGACAGATATTGGCCATTCTAGAAATTGTTGCTTTATCAGGGTACTAGCTAGGATTTAATTTTAACGTAGTGGTACTGGCCACATGTCAAGGGAGCGAAGCTAAAAAAAGGGGCTATTTGAGGGATACCCAAAGGGAAAAAACGTTATTTCTAAGGTATGCACAATGTATCCTTGACTGGTAATTTTTCACATTTGATCTGATACAGTCACAATGCCCCTATGCTTTATTTAAAATTAGGGTGGGAGAGGGGGAAATTTAGTGTAGGGGGTCAAAATTATAGCGTAGGGGGTGAAAATTTTAGGGTAGGGGGCCCCTACGCTACCTGCGCTAGCTAGAACCCTGTTTATCATTATTGCTCAATTTTCTACTTTCCTTTTGACTTTGCCCCCATTTTCTGTTGTCAATTACAAAATGATTTTTTCCATTCCTCTTGAATTTTTATCATCATTATCATTGATCTGTTTTGCATACCATGTCTCCCTTTTTCTTCTCTCTCTTCTCCTGTTGTTGGTTCTTTCTTTCCAACAATCAACTGTTGAGCATCATTCATTCATTTGTGCCACAATTTTCTAAAAATACAGCAGGTATGTGTTTTTAAAGAAATAAGCCTTCCCTCCTGCTTCCAGCGCTATGGCTTATTTGATCTCTTGAAAGTTGACCCAGGCTGTTGGCTTTGCATTTAAACTGCATTGAATGTGGTTTGGCACTGCATTTTTTGAGATTAAAATATCTCCTAGCTTATGCCAGTGCCCTATGTATAAATTTATGTGAAGTTTTTAAAAGCAAGAAAAGAATGTGTCCTGGAGAAAAAGTTGTTGGCAGTCACCAAGACTTTTAGTAAGTTTGAAAACTGTCTGAAGCAATTGTTAAATGCTGTGAATTCCTTCAGCTTTCGGTGCTCTTTCAACCTTTGCACTGATTTCCTGGCTTGTTTGAGGTGTTATTCTAATTTGCCCAGGCAGTAACCTCAAATAAAGTACTAGTATGCACTGGTACCCCGACTGTGACATTGGGCTGAGACACTTTTTGGATTTTGAAAAGTTGAAGAGGCAGATACTGGAAATGATAGAATTTTTATTGATACTCTGTACCTTCTGTATCGCAGGAACAAGTGGCTGATCTTCGGTCTGTTTGTGGAGACCTCTCTGGCTGCCTTCCTGAGCTACTGCCCTGGACTGGACCAGGGTCTGCACATGTACCCTCTGGCGTAAGTACAGTAATCACCTCTTAGCTGTGTAACAGACACAAAAAGTGACAGATTATTCGGAAATTAAATGTCAGTGAATCGAGAGAATATAATGAACACCGGATTAAGATTAGGAACATATTTTTCCCTCTAAAATTGTAGTATTCTAAGTATTTGTTGCTCTGACACTTTCGTAAGATTCTATGATTGTTCAAAGCATACCTCCACCAGGGATGCTTTATAGTTCCTCTGTGAATAATTTTGTCAGGTGTCTAAATGATTCAAAAGCATTTTTAGCAGTAACTCCAAGCTTCAGTGCACAGTGAACCAGTCATAATTGACCTGATGGAGATGACAGATGGTCTTGAAACGTCAGCTCTTGTTAAACAAGTGGTTATGAATTAATAATGTTGCTCTTGATCTACATTTCCTGTTTAACTCCAAACTGGGTGCTACAGCTGATGTGTTTGTGTGTTTTCAGTGGATCCTGGTGGCTTCCGGCCTGGATTTACAGCTTCCTTATTTTCGTGTATGACGAGTGCCGTAGGTTCATCCTTCGCCGTAACCCTGGAGGTATGGTTTCATTTATTTCATCTCACTCCCAGCTTCTGTATCAATCGTGGAACGGGTCGTCCACTCAATTTCATATTAGGTCACACCAATTTAATTTGTTGGTTCACGGATTCGCCTGCTTCATTTCTTTCTGATTTGCAAAAAAAAAAAAACATTTCGGCCTCTGAATCAACTCCAAAATGGTCACGTTTTGGCCCCAGTTGTTACAGTTTTTTCATCTAGCAATGCTGTAGTTTGAAGTTCATTGTCTGAATTACGAACCAGCCAGGTATGTTGACTTCATGATTCCTATCATAGCATTTGCGGCTATCATAGGATGCCCAAATCTGTTTTTATTTTTTTTTTTCGCCCTGTCGCTTCATATTTTTCTGAAAAAATCTGAGAACCAACAAATCAAATTGGTGTGGCCTTAAGTACTCTTGGGCTGTCTGAAAGATAATGTTGGTATTCACCAGACACCAGCTATGCTGAACATGTGTTTGAATTTACAGTCAAACCTGCACAAGAAGACCACTAATAGAACCGATAAAATCTCGTCTATGTGGACAGGTGGTCACTATAGATTCTTAATGCATATGTCCATGGAAAAAATTTATCTTCGGGACCACCGAAAAGTGGTCACAATGGCCAGGTGGTCATTTTGCAGAGGTGGTCACTTGTACAGGTTTGGCTGTATGATGAGTAGGCAGTTTCTCTATGCAGCAACACAGGACTGACTCCGGGAAGACCAACATTGATATTTACATGTGCGGGCCAGGAGTGGCTTTTTAGAAGTTGCAGAGTTTGTGGTGTGATGCTTTGTGTGTGTCTGTTGCTTTTCTCCTCCTGACAGTGTCGGTGGTCTTTGTGTTGGGGCTCGAAATACTTTTTTTGTACTGGTGCAGGTAACACTGAAAAATTATGTGCACCAGACAAATTTTACCTGCACCACTCAGATTTTATGAAGTATGGATCGTCCTAAAAATTGTTCAGAAACAGTCAATGCAGAAAATAGAAATTCACACAGACCCTTATTTGTATATAAACCTAGTACATTGACCAGTGCAGGTTAGGTGCGGGTAGACATCAGAAATACCTGCACAGCTCCAATTTTACCTGCACTAACCTGCATATACCCAGTACATGGACCAGTGCAGGTTAGGTGCAGGTAGACATCAGAAATACCTGCACAGCCCCAATTTTACCTGCACTAACCTGCATATACCCAGTACATGGACCAGTGGAGGTTAGGTGCAGGTAGACGTCAGGAATACCTGCACAGCACTAACCTGCATATGCAGGTGGTATTTCGAGCCCTTTTGTGTGTGTTTGTGTGTGTGTAACTTCACGAACCTCACTATTGTTGTGTTGATGATGTGCCTGTGACCTGTGGTGGTCCTCTCTCAGGGCTCGAAATTAAAGCTGGTCCAATGGCCACTGACCACTAAAATTTAGGCTGGGACAACTAAAAAGACACTTTGGGACATTTTGGGGACAATAGAAAAATAATCAACATCAGAATGTCAGCCCTTCTTTTGTTTATCAGGCACACGTCCCGGCTTTTGGATCCGGAAAAGTCCCCCTGAATTTCCTGTCTATTCTGAAATTATAGTGCGCCTGGGAGTGAACATAAGCAAAATAAAGTTGACTTCAAGTTGAAGTCATACAATACTTCCCCTGAAAAACAGGTTCGGACGGTTCATCCTCACTTTGGGACAACTGAAATTTATTTTTGGCACAGTGCTGGGACAATAGGAAGAAAAGTTAATTTCGAGGCCTGCTCTCTGTGTGTGGCTTCTGTCGTACATGTCTGTACTCTGTCTTACTTGCTGCTGTGCTTTCCTCACCCTCACCAGGCTGGATAGAGAAGGAGACTTACTACTAAGATGTAGTATTGAAGGTAGCATTCATTCCTAGTGGTCTTCTCTTCTTTCTTACATTACTCGCAAGTCCAGAGCACCTCTGCATGTAGTTGACTCACATACAGCTGCATCAAGTTGTTACAAACATACATGTCTTCTGTGTATAGTGTAGCATGTGTTACCATACTTTTCCCCCAACATATTTTTCAGTATAGCTATATTTACTTCATTACTTGGTTCTTGGTAGTTGAGAATATTCTCCTTAGCGAGTTTGATTTACTGACTATTGCAGAGTTTGAGGAGTTTATATGGTACTATGGAACGGTATTTTGTTCCTATATTCTGCTGTTTAGAAGTAATCCTAAGTAAGGGTACTCACACAAGGGAAATTTGTGAGTTATAACCCCAATAGGAGTTAAACAATAGCCGGCTTGGATACATTACTATTGTATCATTTTATGTTTATGAATGCCACATTTATTCATATCAACTGCACTTGCATTTAAAATGCTAATAATCCTTAGTTAGCTGAGGCAAGATTACAGCATGTACATAAATACATAATATATATTGTACCATGAAAAGACTGCAACAACAAATCCACATGTTCAACTGTCCCTGACATCAGTGGGCCCCTCTCTGGCAATGAAGTCATTTCAGTATTATTGGCACATACATTAATCAGGCACAGAAACCCACTAACAGTCTCTGCGTTTCATCGAATGCAAATCACTTACGGTATCTTCTCATTTTTTTCCCTGCAGGCTTCGTAGAACGGGAGACATACTACTGATCCAGTCTTCTGGTTCTGCTACTGTTTTTAGTTATTATTAGTGCCATTAGGAAACAAGGAAAAATGGTGGTAGACAACTTAGAAGATTTGTCAGTAGTAACAAACTGGGTGAATGGTTCGCACATCAAAACATTCTTCTAACTCACCAGTAGGTTATCAAGAAGTAACAACAAGTGCTGATTGGGAAAAATGTCACTATTATTATATGCATGGATTAGGCATTTGTCAATGCGAGACGACGTTGCCTCTGTTGATTGGTTATACCTTTTTTACCATCCGCATTTCTTGTATTTATTGATAGATGTGTTGACATGCATGTAAAGAATTCAAGGAAGTTTATCTGGCAGTATAGTAGCTGACAGTGTTGTACAAGAAGAATTGCCATCAATATTTGGATGTTAATAATTCTTCAAACAATTCAGAATAGTTTATATAGATTTGTAGGTATTTAGCAACTTGTACTAGCTTTTTTTTCTTATTTTACTGTAAATTGTGTAAGTTTTGACAGTAGGAGCTAGGGACTACTGGAACCAGAATACCCACCATTCATACCAGTTGTGCATATGTACGATATATATTGTGTCTTGAACATTAGATATGCAGTTACAATTTTTTGAAGGCTATCTCACCAAATTACAGTGCATGGGAGTAGCAGTTTCGTCCTCCAAAAGTTTCCGCTTTGCTTTAATGTCCGATTACGGTAGAACCTGGCCTGTCTTCCATGGTCATGAAAAAGTCGATGTAAAAGCAGGCAGTAGAATTGTACGATATCCTCCAGAGATACAGCGAAGTGCAGCGGTTTGACTCCCTTTTCTGAAGAAAAGTGCAAATACGAAGTTCATACTTCCTCAAGACTTGAAACGTAACAGCTGAAAATCGACCACAGTCAGGTGTTCAGTGTCTCCTTCATCAGGACACAAGACTATAAAACGAGATTGCAATATTGTAATCAAAACTACAGATCAAACAAGCACATGGGAAATGTTGAGAGCTAGAGGCTTCTCTGCATGACTGATCTTCAACAGCCCTGTGTGCTACATTAGCCCAGAGCTTTTGGATGTATAACTCCTCAAATATCCAAGTATATACAAATAGGAAAGAAGAAATGTATCTAACAAAATCTATTCCATATTTCCTGATTACTATCTCACCCCACCCCCACCCCAAAAATAAGCCTTGGTGAACATGAAAGTATTTCATTGAATGGTTTTAGGATGCTTCCCTGTACAAATATCAGCTTTCCACCATATCAGCTTTTCATTTTTTTGTCTTCGCTATTGTAAAAAAGGACCACAAAATTAAAGACACGCAAGATATTATTAAGAACTTCGTTTAGTGAAGTAGTTTGAATCCAGGTGTGTGATATTTTAGTGCAAAGTTAAAATGTGCATGTTTGACAAAAGATGTACTTTATTGATGTTTGGTACAGTCAGGTCAGGAACTATGAATGCAGTATGAGAAAGTTGATGGTGAACTTGTGTACGTTTTCATCATTCTACTAACCTGCTATAAATGAGCATCATTATTTTCATGGCGTGAGTGTATACCAAATCTGTTCAAAACCCATTTCCCTACCTGATTGTGTTCAGTGTCTCATAATTCATAATTTTCTGGGTAATATTATGTACTCAAGACTTTATACCTGTTTATTCAGACATGCATTTTTTATGTTTTTAAATTGTGTTTGTTAATTCAGAAGTGCATCTATTTTTAACACTGAATGTACTGTACAACCACTAGTTTTGTTTTTAAATAATTCCAATGTTGATCTACCCTCTGACCATGCTGCAACCAATCCCTTGCAGTGTTCCTTCATGTGTGCATGTGTTCAGAGCGTTAGATCACGCCAATGTTGTTATATCAGTTCCTGAAAAGCCATGTCTTGTTGGAGACCTGGGTTTGTTTAACCATGTTGTTAGTGTAATGAGTGAATGCCATCACACAATCTTACACAGACCATCAATAAAGAATGTCTTTTTAGGTCTGAATATGGTGTGTTGTTTCTTCATTGTTTGTATGTTTCTGCATGTTTGGAAAGGCTTATGATAACAATATTACACAATTACTTTCATCATATGCACAACAACAATATACATGTAACAAAAGTTTGGTATCAGCCTAAGGCACCATATTTTAGGAATAAATGTGTGAGAGTTGGTGGGTGTTAGCCTCTACCAGGCTTCAGGAGTGGCTGGAAAAAGTAGAAATTGGCCAAATACGAAATAGATGACACGCCAGTGGAGTTGGTCTGCTAATACTAAAGGAGTACAAAGCAGCAAAGTACTTTAGAGGACCAACTCTCCTGGCATGTTATAGCCTGGGTTCCATCCTGGTTAGTTTACGTCCGCTCCTACAGTCGCTACCACCAACCACTGACAGCGACTGTAGGAGCGGACGTAAACTAACCAGGATGGAACCCAGGCTAGGCATGTTATGTGTATTTTGCCAATATCTACTCATTCCAGCCGATTTTGAAGCCTGGTAGAAGCTGGGTTGGTGAATTGGTACAAAAGAGGTCGCTCTGATTGTGTCAGACTGCGCAAGAAGTTTGTTCGGTCGCAAAGTACCCTGGGCACGAGAATGCATGACGTCGCACCAGTGACCCTGGGTACGAGACTTCATGACGTTGCGGACACCCCCGCGTGTGAATGGTCTCGTCCAGACGCCATAGTAACCAGTCTGTTGAGAAACGGCAAGATGGCGGACAGCGAAGAGACTGCAGCGGACACTACGGCAGGTAAGGGCCGTTATACCTTCGTACGCGATTACTGAGCGCATCCGAGTACTGGCATTTTGAGGCAGGAAGCATCAGGGTTCGAGTAGGATGGAATATGCTTCCCCAATGCGAAAGAATTCGTCGTAGTTCATTAGAATGTGCAGAAAAACACAGTAGCAGACTACCTTGTCAGTGTCTCCAAACAGACGAAATCTTACACATCGTACCCTTTTTGTTGGACGTGTATTTAAACGTGTCTACCACCGTGTCATAGCCAAAGATCACGCTAAAACTTAGGCCTCTCTTAGCACTGTTACTGAAACTGACAACAACAATTTCAAACGATATAGAATTCATGTATTCAATATCAAATAGTATGTATATTTCGATAACTTTTCCATCTTTGCCTGGCGTACTAGTATCTTCTGCATGGATACCATTCAAACAGCTGGCTTCTAACCTGAAATCATAGTACTAGTAGTTACTTAGGATCATTGTCGTATATGTGTCTAGTATAGCCTACTCCCAAGATCAGATATTTACTGATCCGGACTCCCATTTTCAAACCAAACTGCTTGCAGTTGACTCACAGTGGATGGAATAAGGTATGTCATTTTTAAGTAGATGATGTGTATTAATTTCAGAAGGTGATTACAGAAGCACTTAGTAAGATCGAGGAGCTTAAAATCTATATTTTAATACTCACTTGGTAAGACACAGGATACGGATTACAAAAACTAATCAATTTTGATATGAAAATGGACTCCCTCCCTGTCACTGGCACATGTAGCCTGGGTGCCATCCTCCGTAGTGGCAGCTAACAACATCAGTGAGCCGGCGGCAACTACGGAGGATGGCACCCAGGGTATGGCACATGTACATGTCTCTATGATTCACCTCAAGTGTTTTGCCTGAAAGGAAGAAATTCGGTACATCTCCCTTTACCAATTAACTCACTTTGGGAGAATGTTGAAGTTGAAATGGTCACCATTTTTATCCACCAAAAATTAAAGAATGAACTTTATTGCTTGACAATCGTACATGATACAATGTGTGACAGTTAAGACAACAATACTACAACTAACTTACAACCATTTCCTACAAACTACTATTGATAACATTATGCCGAATCCGTGGGCCCTGATTCAGGTCAGTCTGAGGCTCACCCCGCCTCGGGTAAGTCTGCCGACAGCGCGCCGCCCGTACGCAAGTCCAAAAACCTGCAGGAGGCAACGCAGCATCTGAAGGAAGAGGCCCTGCGTCGCTTTGTTCTCCAAGGAGGAGAGGAGATGTCTACAACAGAGGAAGACCCTAGCAGTAATAGTACTGGTCCTAGTGCTGATGTAAAGATGCCGAAGAGCGGTGGTACTGAGGATGGGAGTGATAAAACAAGCAGCGATGCTCAAGCTCAGTCAGCGGACGCAATCGCAGGCGAAGCAAACACTCTAAACAACATGGCGTCCAAAGGTTCTGATGTTACTGCTGACAAAGGTACTGAAGGTACCACCCATGTCATCAATAAAGATACCAACGATACCTATGATATTCACGAAGATGACGCCCCAAGTACCACTGCAGAAGGTGGTACAGCGGTACCTGCAAAAAATGAGGTACCCGCAGAAAATGAGGTACCCGCTACAGATGGGAAGTCAGAGAATGATGACGGAGCTGCAAGTAGCTCTGGTAAGCAGGATGCAAGAGCAAAGCCCACAGGAGTAGAGTCAGGCCAGCCCAACACCCCAGCGGAGGGGAAAGCCGATGCATCCGGGAATTCGAAGGAAGAAGTCCCCGGGGCTGCCAGCACTCAGGAAGGCAAACCTGCGTCTCCCACCACTCAAGCAGAGAAGGATGAAACTCCGGCCCAGCAGACAAGCTCCAACTCTACGGAAAACCTCCAAGAGAAGTTGGAAGTAGCAAGCGACGTCCCTGCTGGTAGGATATACATGGATAGCCATATCCCTGCACATATGGAGCCGACTATGCACCTAATCCCTGCACCCCAATCCCAGCACCACAACCTGCATGCCCTGCACTTTTGCGCACTTTAGTCCTTAAACTGATCTTTGCATGATTATTATATTATAAATATTATTTAACATAAGCAAGCTGCATGAAGCACGAATCACAATTGGTCAACCCTGGGTACCTGGTGCAATATAATCCTGTTACCTATCACTTCTCTATGGTAGTTGCATGGTAGTCTTCCTATCTTAGGCCACACCAATTTAATTTGTTGCTTCTCGGATCGCCCTGTCCATTTTTTTCTGATTTGCAAAAAAAGAAAGATTTTTTTTGTTCTAAATTAACTGCAAAATGCTCAATGAAAGACATATTTTGGCCCCAATGGTTGAAAAAAGTCCTTTTCTTCCTAGTTCTTAAGTTTTTCAATGTAACAATGTAATTTTTTTGTTTCATTAAAAGTTCAAAATTGTTTTAATTATAAACCAGCCTGGTATGTTTACTGTACTTCATGGCTCATATTGTAACATTTCCGGCTATCATGGGATGCCTTGGCCTGGTTTTTTTTTTTTTTCCGCCCTCTCACTACTGATTTTTTCTGACAAAATCTGAGAAGCAACAAATTAAAATTGGTGTGGCCTTATGAAAAGGTGTCTTAAAATTCCTACTCACACTGCACCATTGTCCTTCATTCACCAGTACCTGTAAACGCCCACTTTAACTCCACCGGCACCAACTATCATGGTTTTCATTACCTTCCTCAATGCTATAATAAAGCAGCCATTATAAAAGTTATACAATGTACGTAAGCACAACAAGCCATATTAATTCCTAACGTTACCACAAGTGCTTGACCCATCTGTTACTCTTACAAGTAACA